AGTCTTTAGCAAATAAGTAGGTTGTTGAATAGAAGTAGGAGAATCCTTTTAGTTTGTTAGTAGTTGAGTAATTGTAGGAGTTAGTGGATTGCTACTTTATTTTTTCCATGAGTAAAACTCTATTTAAAGAGTTCACTTGATGTACTTCAGTGAGATGATTAATATTTCGCCAATTAAATAGAGTCCACGTTTTATCTTCTCATCTCTGTTTTTCCATCAGGGATTGCAAATGCTACTGAAGATGTGAGGTTGCTTAGGCAACATAGATAATCATTTCTTCTGTATGAATCAATATTTTATTACAAATCCTTCCTGATACCTCCCAAAGCTTGTGTAGAACAATGGACTATAAGACCACATCAATGTCAAATATCTGGCAGAAATTAGAGCTTATGTATTTCATAAAGTTAAGCATTTCAATTACATCAAAAAATGACTTGTAATCTTTATTATGACCATCTCTCATTGGTTGTCTCCGGGTATCATTATCAAGAAGTATATCTACGACTTCTTGTACTAATTTTTCCTAGCATAGATCTACGTGTTGTTAATAGATCGGTAAGGGTATTGTTTTGATAGGTAACTCTTCAATAGAGTTCATTAATATCTGGGCTAATTAGTTTTTCTATCATCCATCGGAATGATCAGTCTCAACTCATGAGGAAGAACCGGTAATAAACACAAAATCATCAATTCTTGCTCTATACTTTTTCAAATTAAATGTTTATCCAATTTCACGCATCTAACCAAAAATTCATTTCTTATTCCAACTTTTTGATATTCCCATTCATTTTCTATGTGCCTTTCTACCCTAGTTATTCCCATTCTACCAATAAATTTCCATTCACAAGTATTAGCTAGAACAGTTGAAGAAATTGTGAATACATTGACTTGAAAGGAGCATTTTTATGGGGATTGATGTGTAGCTTATATCAGTACTGCTCAGTTACATTTATAAAAGAGAGCATAAAGGAATAGTTGGACAAAACATTTTGTTGATTTTGAAAAAAATTTAATTATATTTGGATATATTATATGCATCTTACTACACGATTCAAAAGTTTTCATTACTTTCTTAAACTTCATGTCTTGTTAAATTGAAACACATAAAATAAAACGACAGAGTAACATGACATTCTAAGAAATAGGAAAAGGAAAACAATTAAATTTATATATTATTACTTTCAAAAATCATTCAATCTCCTCACAAAAATCATCATAAGATTTCACAAAACAAGACCCCTTTTAATTAACTTGAATTTAAAATTATTCGAAATAGTATCCCAATAGAGTTCAATCTCATCACCACAGCTCAATCCACTATTGTATTGAACACTGAGTTTTGTGTCACAACTCACTTCAAATCGTAAGGTTGTGAGTTCGAGTCACCAAAAGAAAAACAAATGGAAGCTCCTAGGGAGAAGTTTTTTTTTTAAAAAAAGGTGGCACAGATTAGCTCATTCCATTCATCGGGGACTCCGGGTAGACACCAATGGCCACAATCTTGTTTCACCCTTCTACCGATCTTCTCATAGACTGATCTTCATTTTCAAAACAGGTTTACTCTCTTTACTACAACTTCCACCTGAATCCCAATCTCTGCCTCTGTTTAAATACAAGTAAGCTTAAACCACGTTTGACAGATTTGTAGAATACCATTTTTCCTTATTAGAATGAATATAGAATGTGGGGAAGGCTAAATATTAATTTCTATAACAAGAGCAATGTTAGGATATTTTAGTAATACTTAATTATATTTATAGGAACAGTTGGGTAAAATATTTTGTTGATCTTGAAAAAAAATTAATGATATTTTGATATATTATACGCATTTGAGTTACACTATTCAAAAGTTTTCATTACTTTCTTAAAATTCATATCTTGTTAAATTAAATCACATAAAATAAATGATAGAGTAACATGACATTCAAAGAATTAGGAAAAGAAAAACAATAAAATTTAAATATTCTTACTTTATTTCGAATATAACTATAAAAATCATTGGATCTCCTCTCAAAAAACATCATAAGATTTAAAGAAATAAGATCCTAATTAATTAACTTAAATTTAAAATTGAGTGAATTAGTGTCCCAACAGAGTTCAATCTCATCACCATAGCTCAATCCACGATTTTTGAACAAATCTGCACAAACTATTGCATAGTCCTTGCATGGCTTCATTTTAACAACATAAGCGCCTTCATCATTTTTAGAGTTGCTCTCTTCAGTAACATCCAATAATTCAAAACGATGCATGTTCCCTTCCTCTACAAGTTGGACCATTCCCTCCATCCAATGTGGAAAAACATGTGCAAGAACGAATGCAAATGGAAGCACTAACAATCTGGTCAGTTGCTCAAACTGGGTGATAGTCTTCCTAATCTTTCGGGGACCTTGAACATGGGTAGAGTGGGTGGTTGTATTCATAATAGTAATTATAGAGAAATGTGTTTGATGAAAATTTACAATGTTGGGGAAAAAAGATAGGAATTTATAGGAATTTTTTGGCATTAAATTTGGAAGGTAAATCACACTATATATAATTATTTTTCTAATAAAGATTGGTTTCATATATTTAAGATTAGATTACTGTGATTAATTTTATTTTATTTTGTAGTCACTTTCCTTCTACAACTTGATTTGATGAATCTTGCATACAAGCAAGTTATTTAAATGTAATTATAGGTAATTTTATTTAATAAATTTATAATAGACAATAAATAATCAGTTATAATAAATCAAATTATACACATATACAAGTTGGTAATTCAATTAAAAAAATTCTTCTCTTTATGTACTTTTTATTAATAATAATAGGGAAAATCTTCAAATTTGCCATCAAACTATTAGAAATGACTCATCTATTTCGTTAAGAGTTTGGCACATTTATGTGTTGTTATAAATCATGTTCATTTATATCATTAATTTTATTAGTGATTTTGTATAAACAGTTTTGCCATATGGCCTCTTGTTAGAGGTCCCCCAAAAAATTGGACCCATTTAAAAATTAACTTACTCACACTCTATTCGTTTCCCCAACTTGGACTGAAACTAACTCATAGAATCTGGATGGAATTCACCAGGTATAAGGTAACTGCGGGAGAGGAAAAATTTTACGCCATAACACTTTATCATTCCAACTATGATGTCTACCGTGTTTTTTTATATTTATTGTTTCATTTTCACTTCTTTGTAGTTTAGGAGAGATGCCATCCTCCCTAGCGGCATTAGAAAAACAACTATCCAACAATTCATACTCCTCACAAAGAAATCACATCTTGTAGTATATGTGGAGAAAAATAACAACTTTCAACAACTTGTAATTTCTTACTAGTGTTAATATGAGTAATGGAATTGGAAAGTGTTCAACTAACAAACTTTTTTAGTTAAAAGTTCATCAAGAAGATCTCTATTCGTAATATTATTATTTGAAGCACTCGTTTGAGTCATAACATGCTTTGCACCTAGTGGTGGAACTACCATGGCACGGTTCAGCACAAATGTCAGGGCTATTGGAGGTTTTGGAAGGGATATAATCCACTACTCCTCTTGCATCATGTATTCCCCACTCTTCGCTCTCGTACCACCATTTTGGCCATTTTTTGCGTCAAAATTGTTGGTTGAGTACAATGGAATTAAGGCAAAAAATGTATCTAAATTTTGGTCATTCCCCAGGGATATTAGTTCAATTGATGTTCCTCTCTAACCAAAAGGGAATCAAAAGAGTTAGAACAAATATTATCCTCTGAGGAATTTAATCAGACACCTTGCGTCATGATAATTTTCATCTTATCTGCATGAACCAAAGTGTTAACTACAATGTCCTTGTATTTCTCGTGTGTTATCATGAACCAATTCACATCATCAGATTTATCATTACATTTTCTAAACTCATTTATTCATGGAAACCCCAACATCATCCACTACGTTTTCCAAATTCACATCCAAAGTGACTTTCATCTATTTTGTTTGTTTCGCATCTTCTTCATGTTCATCATCCAAAACCTTATTAGTCCCATTAATATTATGAAAAATCTCAACTTCCTATTCATTGATTATCGATTGTACACCATCTTGTTATCTCGCTTTGTCACGAACTTTTTTGAGTTCCCTATTAACAAGCACACTTACTCTCATCGTATTTTTGATGCTTGCAATGGTTGCAATATAATGGTAACTCATCATAGATATTATTTTGATGAATTAATTTAAATAGTGACTTATTTCGATAAAAAAAATTATTTGTTGTAAAGTAAAGTGTGTGAATCTAATGGATAACTTCAATATGTTTTAGGGTTGGTGTATTAAATAATTTAACTAATGATGATTGTACTATATTTGGTATATCTATAAGACATGCAAATCACTTAAAATGAAATTACATGTGATTCGATATAACTTATAATAAATGAAATTAATCGGTTATGATAAATTAAACCAAGTTCGAATTTTTCAAATACATCAATCTAATTAATAGGATTGAAAATGCTACCGAGGATGTGAGGTTGCTTAGGCAACATAGAAAATCATTTCTTCTATATGAAAAATATTTCCATTACAAATCCTTCTTGATACCTCCCAAAGAAAGTGTAGAACAATGGACTATAAGACCATATCAATGTCAAATATCTTGTAGAAATTAGAGTTTATATATTTCATAAAGTTTAGCATTTCAATTAAATCCGAAAATGAATTGTAATCTTTATTATGGCCATCTCTCATTGGTTGTCCCCGGGTATCATTATCAAGAAGTATATCCACGACTTCTTGTACTATTTTTTTCTTGATGTAGATCTACCCGTTGTTAATAGATCGGTAAGGGTATTGTTTTGATAGGCAACTCTTTTATAGAGTTCATTAATATCTGAGCTAATAAATTTTTCTATCATCCATCTGGTTGATCGGTCTCAACTCATGAGGAATAACTGGTAATAAACACAAAATAATTCATTCTTGCTCTATAATTTTTCAAATTAAATGTTTATACAATTTCACGCATCTAACCAAAAAGTTATTTCTTATTCCAACTTTTCAATATTCCCATTCATTTTTTGTGTGCCCTTCTTCCCCCAATCATTCCCATTCTACCAATGAATTTCAATTCACAAGTATTAGAACAGTTGAAGAAATTGTGAATACATTGACTTGACAGGAGCATTTTTATGGGGAATTGATGCATAGCTTATATAACAGGAGCAATGTTAAGATATTTTGGTACTACTTAATTGTATTTATAAAAGAGAGCATAAAGGAACAATTGGGCAAAATATTTTTTTGATCTTGAAAAAAAATTTAATGATATTTGGATATATTATACGCATCTTCCTACACGATTGAAAAGTTTTCATTACTTTCATAAATTTCATGTCTTGTTAAATTAAAACACATAAAATAAAATGGAAGAGTAACATGACATTCTAAGAAATAGGAAAAACGAAAATAATAAAATTTGAATATTATTACTTTCTTTCAGATATAATTATAAAAATCATTCAATCTCCTCACAAAAATCATCATAAGATTTCACAAAACAAGACCCCTTTTAATTAACTAGAATTTAAACTATTCGAAATAGTATCCCAATAGAGTTCAATCTCATCACCACAGCTCAATCCACGATTCTCGAACAAATCGGCACAAACAATTGCATAGTCCTTACATGGCTTCATCTTCACAACATAAACCCTTTCATCATTTTTATGATTGTTCTCTTCAGTAACATCCCATAATTGAAAATGATGCATTTTCCGTTTCTCCAAACAAATGAAATTGTTATAGAAATGTTTGATCATAAATGTTTGTCCTTAATTTTATTGGCCATGAATGGATGCATTTTACTCCTAGTTCAAAAAGATAAAATACATTGAGTTTCCAAACTATGTGGTGTCCAAATTGAGTCAATATGGAGTATGAACAATTGCATCATGTAATCAAAGAATCTTGGAAAATTACTGCCTATTTTTGGTGCAGAAACTGAAATGGACACTGTTACATTTGGTGCACATATTGTTTCCCAACTAGCTTGGGATTTGATGTAGCTGTTGTATTGAACACTGAGTTTTGTGTCACAGCTCACTTCAAATCGTAAGGTTGTGAGTTCGAGTCACCAAAAGAAAAACAGATGGAAGCTGCTAGGGAGAAGTTAAAAAAAAACAAAAGGTGGCACAGATTAGCTCATTCTATTCATCGGGGACTCCGGGTAGACACCAATGGCCACAATCTTGCTTCACCCTTCTACCGATCTTCTCATACACTGATGGGTGGTCATCCTTGCGGAAATTTATTGACTGTGTTACGTTTAAAAGGACTACTGGCAGCTGCCTTTCCTTAATCACCTCCTCCACAATCTTCATTTTCAAAGGATAGCTCCTCTCAAAACAGGTTTACTCTCTTTACTACAACTTCCACCTGAATCTCAATCTCTGCTTCTGTTTAAATACAAGTAAACTTAAACCACGTTTGACAGATTTGTAGAATACCATTTATCCTTATTAGAATGAATATAGAATGTGGGGAAGGCTAAATGATCAATGTTGCTCGTTTCCTTCAATGATACAACATGCACTTTCATAAGATAAGAACTCTCATGTTAGTGTTTTCATTTATAAGTCGGAGATTACCTCTTCGAGCTCTGGCAGCATTTCCTTCTTAGATAGGCTTCGGAAAGCCCTTCACAAATTCTCTCTCCTTAGTTGTATCACTTAAAATATGCCATCACCAATAGTCTCTGCAAGAACATGTTCCGTTCTCAAACTTATGGAACCTATTGGCATCTCTAACAAGAAATATTTTCTTCAAAATCTTTGACAAACCCTTGATGTACTCATGACAATCTCCACAAACTCTCAAATTCTTGAAAACACGAATTGGCTTCCCCTCAATTTCATCGGCACCAGAAAGAAGTGCCAAACCAATTGCCAATTTCTCGCTGTGAAATCTCAGGCTCTCATCCCTTGTTTCATCTTCAACATCGTGTAATGAAAAGCTTACTTCCCGTGTGTAACCGAGTTCATATTTCATTTTCTTCTCCATCTTATACAAAAATTCATGGATAGCTTTAGTAAGTGGGTGTGTCTCATCTCTGTTGTAGAAAAAGTGCATCTTCTTGTCGATCTCCACCCAACTTTGTCCTGCTTCTTTTCTTAAACCTTTCGTTTTCACCAGTCCTCTTAATCCCTCACATTCTTCCCATAGGCGGGCATCAGCGAAAATGTTTGACATCATAACATAATTCACCGGATTATTGCCATCTAATTTTAAGAGAATCTCCCCAACTTCTCTTCCTATTTCTACATTCTTGTGTACTCTACATGCACCAAGCAGTGTCTGCCAAATACCAACATTTGGTTTTACTGGCATGTTCTCTATCACAACCTTAGCTTCTCTTAGGCGTCCAGCTCGACCTAGGATATCAACCATGCAAGCATAATGCTCTACTGAGGGTTTTAAACAATTTGAATTGCATAGTTTTGAAAAGTATTCTTCACTTTCTTGAACTAACCCCGAATGACTACAAGCTGTGAGCAGAGCTAAGTAGGAAACCTCATCAGGCTCAATCCTATCCATATGCATTTTCTTGAATAGTTCAACTGCTTCTCTACCAAGACCATACTTCCCATACCCGATGATCATAACGGTCCATGAAATCACATTTTTTTCTAGCATAACATCAAAAAGTGTTTTGGCTTCCTCTATTAACCCACATTTTAGATACATATCCATGATTGAATTCAATACAGATATGTCTAACCCAGAAGGTATTTTTACTGCACAACAATGCAATTGTTTCCCAAGCTCAATTAGAGCAAAATCAGCAAAGATACCCATCATGCTTGACAGCACAAACCCATCCAATGTGATGCTACTTTCCCTGAGCTGCTTGAACAAGTTCATTGCCTCTGTTAGTTTGCCTTCTTGAGCATACCCTACGGTCAGTGTCGTCCATGATATCACACTTTTCTGTTCAACTTGACTAAACACCTTATGAGCTTCAAACAAGTTTCCTGATTTGACATACAAATCAATTAGGGCGCCTGCAATAACTTTTTGGCTGGAAATAAGGAATCCCCTAGTAATAAGAAAACCATGAATTTGGCTTCCTTCACGCACCGCCTTAAAACCACTGCAAGCCTTCAATGTGCTTGCAAACGTAAACTCGTCTGGCATTTCTCCTTGTTGTTGCATTTGTTTGAACAGATACAAAGATTTATCACCAAATCCTCCCATTGCATACCCTGCTATCATTACATTCCAAGTTATGAGACTCTTTTCTGGCATTTCATGGAACTTGTTTTCAGCCTCACCAAGTTTCCCACATCTTGAGTACATATCGATAATTGAATTACCTGCAACTGGATACTTTTCAAACCCACTTTTAGCACACAAACCATGAATCTGTTGTCCATTTTCCAGAACACCAAGAATACCACATGCCTTAAAGTTGGTGGAAAAAGTGTATTCATTGGGTCTTACATTTGAGAAGAGCATCCGAGAGAGAAGCAACAAGGATTCTTGAGCATTAGCGTGTTGTAAATATCCACACATTAAAGCCGTCCAGGAAACCACATTTCTTTCAGGCATTTTGTGAAACACTGAGCGAGCCAGTTCCACTCTACTGCACTTCCCGTACATATCAATGAGATCATTGCTTATCATCAAATCAAATGCATAACCCATCCTTAATACAGCTCCATGAACTTGTTTTCCCACATCTAAAGACAAAATCTTAGAACAATTTCTCAGTAGTTCAGCCAACCTTTGTCTCTCATTCATTACAAAAGATGTACCTTGCGGCATCTTCTTACCAGATATCTATAAATCTCTTGTGGAACTCAAAGAAGTTGTCCAAATATTTGTCATCTCATTTGAAACTCCGAAAAATTGTAGTTAAATGGGAATCCAGGTTCAGATATACGACTGTTCTAATTTTTCGCCCCAAGGGTGGTTTGGGTTATATTATGTAACAGGAGAGATTCAAACTGGTTTCGGTTCACTGAGTCTCCTACCAGCATCAGCCTCTTTCCTTTCAATCTCTTCAAAAAGTCTGATGCACTAAACCTACAAAAGTAGAACTGCTTTAAATATACAAATCTGTTAAGTAGTCCCCTGAATTGTCAAACGACCAGCCTATTTATCAATGAAATGAATAAGTTTTATCATCACATGAATCATCAGAACAGCAAAACCTATAGATATTACACAATATTATTGATACTGCCATCTATTAACATGTGAATCAATTTATGAAACTACTATTTGGTGATAATATTGAGGAAGCTCCATATTAATATGCAGGTTAAGGTGTAATTGATTTCTGATTCACTACAAAATGTTATAAAGTCAGAAAAATATTTCCTTTATTGAGTTAATCATGTATGATATTGTGCAACATGATAAGCCCTCCTACCAACTCCAAAACAGTGTATTACATATGTTCTACCCAAACCTTAAACATATACATATATATAGAGAGAGTGTTAAATGATCAAGAATCTATTATGCTTATGTTCCACATGGTGATCATGTTGAGGTTTAGCCATAGATCAAGGTTCCATTTCAGATATCAGACAATGACAATGCATGTCAAGGGCGCTAGCGCGTGCCCCCGGGGTGATCATTACCACTTGAAGTTTTAGTTAACCAGAAACATCTCAATGATAGACATTCTCAATTAGAAAGTGCAATGTCATAGTCAGAGTGAATTATCTAACCATGTTGAATCAACATGACAGTGAAATATCCTTCACAAAGCTAAAGAATTCATTTAGACACTTAAACAAACACCTTACAGGCAACCATTTTGAATACAGTGAAACATCCTCCACAAAGGTAAACAATTCATTCGGACACTTAAACAAACACCTTACGGGCAACAACACCAGGATCTTTTATATATGTGCACAAAAATATTAATTCTGTAAATGTATAGTAAAAATTTAAAATAAGGTAGTATTATGTGACATTGCTTCAACTAACGTGTACCTATTTTTAGTGATACTTCTGCTATGTT